GTTGCCGCTCCGGCCCTATGGAATGAGCTACCCCCAGAGATCCGGACCCTACCCACTCTCATGGCCTTCTGAAAAGCTATTAAGACCTTGCTATTCCGGCAGGCCTGGGGCTGTTGACCTGTGGGTTGAGGTCCAGCCCCGCTTAGATTGGGTGCATGTTGTGTCTTTTTAAATTTGTTGTGTTTTATCTTTTTAATTTCTCTTAATTTCTGTTTCTGTAAGCCGCCCGGAGTCCTCCGGGATTGGGCGGCCTATACATTTAATAAACAGTTAAACAGTTTAACAGATTGACTTTGCTTGTCAGAAGGTCGCAAAAAGTGATCAAATGTTATCAGGAAACTGCAAATATCATAAATATGAATCAGTTGCCAAGCATCTGAATTTTGATCATGTGACCATAGGAATGCTGCAATAATTGTAAATGTGAAAAATGGTAATAAGTTACTTTTTTCAGTGATGTTGTAACTTTGAATGGTCACTAAGTGAACTGTTGGAAGTCAAAGACTATCTGTATATCATTAGAATTTGGTACTCCAGCCCACACCAACTGTCCTTTCATTTTTTCAATTGGGGCTCAGAAGGATTTGAGCTTTTGGGAACATGAAAACTGGACTTTGGAATGCTGTAGCCACATCATAGGGACGTGGTGGCTCAGTGGCTAAGATGCTGAGCTTGTCGATCAGAAAGGTCAGAGTTCAGCAGTTCGATTCCCTAGCACTGCTTAACGGAGTGAGCTCCCGTTACTTGTCCCAGCTTCTGCCAACCTAACAGTCCGAAAGCACGTAAAAAATGCAAGTAGAAAAATAGGAACCACCTTTGGTGGGAAGCAAACTGCGTTCCGTGAGCCTTTGGCATTTAGTCATGCCAGTCACATGACCATGGAGACGTCTTTGGACAGTGCTGGCTCTTCGGCTTTGAAATGGAGTTGAGCACCGCCCCCTAGAGTCAGGAACGACTAGCACATATATGCGAGGGGAACCTTTACCTTTTAGCCACATCATGTTTTCTCCTCTTAGGTATTTACTGAATGTCAGGCACTGTATAGTGAGAAATAAAATGAGTCAGCTACCTAGATTTATTCTTATTCTATTACAGTATCACCTCCAAGAAAGGCCGATTAGGGATAAAGATGAATGGCAACTAGAGCATTGATGATATAGAAGAAAGTAGTGGGGAGGGAGTTCATTAGCTCAGAGGATGCCCATCAGCAATTGTGCTTGGGGTCTATTCAAATCTGGCATTGTATCTGCAATGCTGTCTGCATTAGCACTTTTCTTTATGCATAAAAGGGCTATAAACTCTTCTCGATTTCCACTGTGCTGCTGGCAACTTTAAAAAAAAAATTAGCTACCTCACCTGTTAATTCTGATATTGTGTATCAAAGGTTTCACAATAGTTTCAGCATGAATGCCCCATTTTATTCAGTCTAGCCTTATCTTTAGGAAGACAAACTTTTCAATTATTTTATATGCAGTAAATTTTAAAACTAGAGCTTCACCATGTCAAATATGATGGCCAAATCACTGTGAAAGTCAATCTTAAAAATAATATATGAGCTGGTTCCTAGTTGTCCTACACTGCTCTGCTGTTCCATTGCACTCTAGGTCCAAGAGTAGCAAACTATATTACACTAATCAGTAACACACTCAGAAATTCACATCAGAACACTGGGCTAAGTAGCATTTCCTACCGCTGTTGCCTTCTGAAAACTGACTTCTCTATTCTGATCTTGATCTCTAGCTCTGCTCTGGTTATTCTCAAAGGGCATTTAAAGGTTCTTAAAGGGACTGATTCTGCAATTACTGATTCCAGTGATATGGAGTGTGATTGGGACTAAGCATGCATTTTCTGCAGAATACAGACAAATCATTCTTCAGCCTTGAAGAAAGTGACAGCTTCCTAGGAGATGTCATCTTCTATCCTCCTTGAAAATTTGGAAGTTGCAAATTAAGGCCAGAGGCTGTCTAGTTTTGTCTCTGTCCTAGATCCTATCCCACTGCTTATCTTCCTGATTAAATTAATATTACTTATTTCCTGAATTGACCATGATATGATGGTGGTTTTCAGTTTAAATATTATTCTATATAAGACTTGCAGAATGCAGAGTTACTTTCTCTCTGTAACCTAATAGAAGCAAAACATTTTCACCATTCCTGCTCAGAAGAATAGTGCTAATGCAGCACTGAGATTCAAGAAAGCGACAAAATGCATGCTAATTTCAGATTTTGTGACATAAAATAAACTTGGCCGGTAAAATACTAAGGCTCCAAATTCACAGCTGCATTGCATTATGGATAAATATTAACTGATTACAAAATTATATGGCATCCAGCATTTTATTCTTAAAATGTACTATATGTGGATTTTTTTAAAAAAAATATTTATTTATAGTTAATTAGCAAAATACTCATGCAACATTGGACAACTCAGTTATTTGCCAAAGTTTGCGCCCAAGCTTACTTTATTTGAATCCTTTTCTGTTATAGGTGACATTTCTGGATAGGGGAGTCACATCTCAGTCTGAGAAGCTCACCCCAATGCTTTCAATATTCAAAATTTGCTAATTTATTTCAGTCACTCCCTGAATTGAAAATGACAGCCAGTTTGCTTTAGTAGGTAAATCATCTGGTTAGAAACTGGGAGGTACCAGTTCTAGTCTCGCCTCCAAAATGAAAGCCAGTTGGTTGATTTTGGGCCAGTCACTCTCAATCAGCCCACCCACCTCACAGGGTGGTTGTTTTGGGGTAAATAGTAGAAGGAAGGTGTGTTAGCCATCTTGAATTATTTATAAAAATAATGAAGATGGAACATAAATAAAATAAAATGTAAAAATAATAAACTGTTCTGGTGCTATAAAACCACTGATTTCAACCTCATCTTGTGTGTTTGGATTTTAGTGTTACATAGACTATACACTACCATTTTGTCTTAATGCATATGAAGTGAAATAGCTGAAATTAGACATTGTTATTTTGAAAATAAAAAGCCCTATGATACGTTACATCAGAGGTAGATTATCTGATTGTTTTTTTTAAATGTAGTGCATATTTGCATATCTCCAACAAAGTCTGCTTACTGTCTAGAATCTATCATATTATTTGGAAATAGAATGTATTAATCATTTGAGTTTGTAGACAAAAAATGAATGCAGAGCATTAGGTTAGTTACAGATGCAAATTGTGAACACGGGAAAAAATAATATTAGCTACTCAAGTCAATTATAGGCTATAATGTAGTATAGCTTTGTTAAAGCATGTTTTACTGTATATGTGAAATGTAGATGGGCATTGACTTAGCTTTGCATTATTACATTTAAAACTATTATTCATTAATCTTATCAAGGTAAATATATGTCTTGAACACTTAGGCTTTAGGCTGCCATAATCCATAACATTCATGCAGCAAAATGTGCAAGTGTACCTACAATGTTATTTATTTAAATCTACACCTTTCTATTTATCAGTCAAAAGACCTACTGCAGTATTCTTTCATCTAGTGCCTATCAGAAATGTTGGACAACAACAGCTCTCACACTTCCCAGTTATGGTTGACTAGGGTTGCTGAATCTCTCCAACAGATTTCCATAGATCACAGAGGTTACTGGAAAAGCAATATCAATTTCCAGATATACCTTATTTCATATACTTACAAAGCCACCTTAAATTAGTTTAAAACCAGACTCTTTATTTAACAAAGGATATTGTGTATGTTATCCTATGAATACTTACCTGGATCTTGTGGGGGGAAACAACAGCTTGCCTTAAACAATTTAATAGTTCTTAGTGATGCATATAAGCAGATGGTGAACTCCTAAACTTCCAGATATATTCATAAATTTGATGGCAGGAGTTTGCAACCTTATACTATCCAGATGTGTTGGGTTGATAACATTCAGTTAAATGTTAGATTTATAAAAATTAGTTAAAAACTGGAGGGTACTAGGATAGGCAACAATGCCATTGATGTTATCTTTATTTTTATTTTCAATAAAAGTCTCCATTGTCACAGCATGAATATTGATGGTAGTCTTTAGTTCCTAGCATTCTTGTATTTAATTTAAACACCTTTATCTCTTTTCTTCTTTCCTCCAATACTCAGAGCCATTTAATACTCTAATTAGAAATATAACTCACCACTGCAAACAACAAAGGCAAATGTATTGTTTTACACTGTCTCATCACATGATGGTTTCATTAAGTGGGTTGTTCACATATTGTTTAGTTGTTTAAATAATTAATTCCCTATAACAGAACAGTTACAGTGACTGGTTCATTCATTTTATTTTAATGATATATCAGAGTGAAAGTATATACTTGCTTGCAAGAGCCCAAGAGTCTGATTCTGATTTTATGTTGCTGTAGCAGAAGTTCAAATAGTGTCTGGCTGGTAACAAAAATCTATCTGGAATGTAAAGAAGTTATATTGTACAGGTTATGTGGAGCAAATGCTTTGCTTTTATAAAGAATAAAGAAGATGTTACTTTATATATTTTTTGTGATTAATTTTTATTTCCTGTAAATGTTAATATATCAGGCAATAACAAATGAATATTGTAGGGCAAGCTTTCTTAAAGGGGTTTCCTCTATATATTTCAGGACTTCAGCCCCTATAAACATCATCTGATAGGAGTTGTATTACAAAAACTTAAAAAGGTTTATTTCACTAAATTATGACAGTATGTGGATATTCTTTAAAGAGTTATTCAAATGATTGATTTCCAATTGTTTTTGTTCCCTAGGAATTCAGATCCAAGATCTACTTACCAGATCACATTCTTAACAGAAAAGATGAGAACTTACATTTAGAAAA